TGCGGATGGCACAGGGCAGGGCATGGCTTCCCTCTGTTGTTCACAGAGTCGCTTAGAGTTGGGGTCGACTTGGCAGCATACGACAACCTTCAGTACCTGTGAATGTGACCTTGTTTGGAATAAGGTTTTTGGTGATGTTACTAGTTACTCTAAGGGCATACCAGAGCAGTGTGGATGCTAATCCCATCCTAGCAGCATCTTGTGGAAGAAAATACACAGGAAGGGTCAGAAGCATTTCTTTCTGTTCGTTCTGGAGGCAGACGTGATCCAGGGAACGCCGAGGATTGCCAGGAGCCACCAGGCTAGGAGCGAGGCAGGGGACAAGGGACCAGTCCCTCTCTGAGCCCTCGGGAGGAATCCTCATGGCCAATGCCCTGACCTGGATGTCTCTAGAGCTGAGATGATCAATTTCTGCCCTTTAAAGACACTCTCACTAATAATAATCTATTTACTGAGCACCTACCATGTACCAAGTAGTGTTCCTAAGCTCTCTAAGAAAATAAAGTCCTGAGTAGTGACTCAGTTAATACTTATCAACAATCTGAGAGGCCAGGGCTGTTGCTAAGAGGAAGTGGACAGTGGCCTTGAAGGCGTTGAATGGTGAAAGTCTTGTCCTCCAGATGGGAGACCTGCCTTCACTCCACGTCAGGCCCATCTGCAGAGGGGACTTGTCACGATGCTGAGTGGGTCTCAGCAGAGCTTCTCAGGGAGGCCTGGCACTCTTCCTTCTGACAGGCAGCCAGAGAAAACACGACAGATCGCAGCTGGCCAATCCACAACCTGATACAGGACCAGGCAGCTGGGTCACCTCGCGTCGGGGCCTAACTCAACAGCAGGCAACACGATCATGCCAAATCACCAGATGGTGGAACCATTGCTCCAGCACCTCACAGAGGGGACGTGGAGACCCGGAGGGCCACGGGACAGGCAGAGAGTGACACGTATGTGAAGTGTTCCCATTCCATCTGACCTGAGCCCTGCTTCACACCAAACATCATGCTAGAACCCTCCAAGGCACTCACTTAGCTTTATGGATAATTGCTCCAACCGCTTAAAAAAAAAAAAAAGCCATCTTCAGAAAGCAGGTGATACGCCCAGCAGGAAATTGCAATTTAAATCAAAGGAAATTGCCATCCTGTGGCATTCACAGTTGTTGCCTTGAAAACAGAGCTTAGGATCCTTGGGTAACCCTAGGCTGACTCCCATTCCGAACGGTGCTTCATTTCCACTTGATTTCACCCCTTCCTTCTCCTCTTTCTCCGCCTCCTCCCTTCCTCCCATCCTTGCTCTGAATGACTGCTTGTGATTCTCTGGGCCAGGAGCTGGACCAGACCTGGAGACTCTTACGTGGAGGATGAGATAAACTCTATGCCTCTTTTCTCTGAACTTAGAGTTGGTTGCGGAAGACAAACAACGGAACAAGTTAAAAATAAGAATAATAACAGTTAGCATGTTCTGAACCCTGGACCATACTTGCATCCTCCCCACAACCCGGTGATGCCTTCCCCGTTGTGAGGGCTCAGGACCACCGTCATAGAAGCACGAGTCAAGAAGTCAAACGACATGTTGCTTTGGGCCAATCTGCTACAAAAGACCTCTTTAAAGTTTTAAAAAGCAGAGCTGTCACTTTGATGGCTGAGGTGTGCTTGACCTAAGCCATGATATTTTTAAGAGCCTCGCTAGACATGAGAAAGCTGAACAATGTGGGGCGAGGTGGGGGAAGGGAACCAGGAGAATTGAGGCATTCAAATCGTGGTGCGGGCAAAGAATATGGAATAGATTGGGGACTGCCAGAGGAAGGAGCAAATTGGTCTTGGAAGAAATACATCTGGAAAGCTTTTTCGAGGCAAAGATGAAGACACTTTCTCCTGCTTGTGTGATCAGAAAGGATACGCCATCATGCAAAGGGAAGACCATCATGCACAGCAGAGGTTTGGTAGAAATGAAAGCTTCGATCAGATAGATGAATGGAATAGTCCCAGTGAACCTGACTGTGCAAACGAACGCTTCATTCGACTTGTTACACCTCAATCACCATCGTGGCTTAGTGGTAAGGAGTTACACTGCCATCCCAAAGACATGCAGTTCGAATCCAGATGGCTGGAGGAAAATGGACAATCTCCTGTGCAGTTTCCACCCTCTGGAAACTGCACAGGAGAGTCAGGTGTGGGTTGATTCTGACAGTGACAGTCCCTAACAACAACGAAGTTGCTGTGAGCTGATGGATAACATTTTAAGAATGAATCCTTTTTCCAGAAAACATACACTGCCTCAAATGCAGCACACTCACTTATAACCTGATTATTTCTCAACTTTCCCACACATTTCCAATGTCCTTCCATCTCGGCGCTCATAGAAGCTCATCTATCTTTTTTCCTGATAGTCATATGAGAAAGAATAATTGATGCATATTCTATGGCTTCACAATGTTTCCATCCTTCCATTGTCATGAGGAACACCCTTGCACAAAGATCTAACAAGGTGATGAGCTCCCCATCAGCCGAGGTGCTCAAGTGTAGGCTGTGCCTGACAACAAGCCTGTGTTAGCAAGAAAATAACAAAGGCATTTCCATTGTAAGACAACCTATCCTTGTTCTAGCTTCGAATGTCACAGAGCTTTGCAAACAGACACTGTGTTCGGAGTCTGTTTGCGAGAAGCACGGCCTGGGGCTTTGGTTCAGGCACCTTGAACAGTTCTTGTGTGGTGTTACTCAATGCCTGTCATTTTACAACTCATGTACAAGCTTGTCTTTCCCAGTAGATTGGAAGGTTTCTGAGGGTAGATCATAAAATACACATTTCTGTTAGCTCAGGGCCTCAGCACGTTCTTGAACAAGTGAATGACGGAGCTTAGGAGGTTGAAGCTACCAATGTATGTATGAGTAGTTTTCTCCCTTCTGCAAAAGGCACTTCAAGTATTGCTTTCTTGTCTTTTACCAAGTCTTCACTGTTTTCTATGCCACCCCAAGTGTCTGGATAGTCCTCTGAAACTAGCAATCAGAAGTGAAAGGAATCAGGAAAACAGGGAGGGGGCATTTTCTCTGGACGGCATTAAGACTCACTGCGTGAGAAACAGGATAACAATTGGGAGAAAGGGTGGAGAGAAGGGAGGCCACCATGCTGAAGCCAGTAGAATGAGTTTGAGGGAAAGACTGAGAATGAGAAGGGAGGCCACCATGCTGAAGCCAGTAGAATGAGTTTGAGGGAAAGACTGAGAATGAGAACTGGGTGGAGAGCACTTTTGGGGAAGCAGGGAGGTATACAGAAGTCAACGTGCAGGGAGAGATGCTGCAAAGTGGCGAGAGGTTAGAGTATTCTTTAAGAGGTTGAAATGATTTCTGCTTCCACTGAGATGGTGTTTCTGTAACTGTGATGTGAATTTTGGCTAGGTTCTATGGAGCTCTGAAATGTGTCTGGATTACAAATGAATGACTGAAATGGTGCGAACTGTCCCTCCCCAGTGTGTGGGTCAGATAGCAGCTATTGCTGGGATGAGGGTGAGGGTCTTGGTCTAGAGCTGTATCAAGGAATAGCCGCTGTCTCCCCGTCCATGTCTGTGACTGAGAGGGAGATTCTCAGCCTCGAGCCCGTGTTCACCATCCTGTGCCGTGCCCACAGACGTGCCTTTTGCTGGAACCGGTTGATTTAAGATGCTTGAGTGGGAATCACACTTGAGAAGCTATTGTGGAAATTGGTGGGAAAGATTTCTGTGTTCAAAGTCAGAAGACTAGGAGTTTGGCTAATAAGTACAATTATCTTTAGAGAGAGTTTTCATTTATTGTTGTTGTTGTTGTTGTTGTTAGGTGCTATCAAGTTGAGTATGACTCATAGTGACCCTATGAACAAAAGATCTAAACCCTGTTCTAACCTGTGCCATCCTCATATCACACTTCCTGACACAGAAGGGCACATTGTGGGAGTCACCATGTCAGTCCACCTTGTTGAGGGTCTTCCTCTCCTTTGCTGACCATCCACCCTTCCCAGCATCATGTCCCTCTCCAGGGAATAGCCACGTCTAGCAACATGCATGAAATATGTGAGGTGAAGTTTCATCCTTCCTGCTTCTCAAGAGCACTCCAGCTGCACCCTCTCCAAGACATATCTGTTTGTTCTCTTGGCCTTCTAAGGGATGTTCAGTGCTCTTCTTTTAATTAAGAGAAATTATACATGAGGATTTCATTTTCAGGAAGTCTCAGTCATCTAGTTTATCCTTTGTTGATTGTGCGTTTTCAGTTATATTTAATAGTCTCTCCATGCCATTGATTAGGGCTCTACAGTTGGCCCCTGTTTTACCTTTGATGATCTTTATAACTAAGTTCTTGATCCATTTTGAATCAAATGGTTTTATGTCTTAAGTCCTTAATCCATTTTGAATTTTATTTCTAAGTCCTTAATCCACTCTGAGTTAATATTTTTTTTATATGGTGTGAGGTAGGGATCTTGTTTGATTTTTCTGCAAATACATATCCAGTTTTACCAGTACCATTTGTTAAAGAGGCAGTGATGGGATTCCATTCTAATGATTTCATCTCTTTGTTGTAGCTCAGCTATCCATATTGTTGATGTTGTGTGCCTTTGAGTTGGAACCACCTCATAGCTGATCCACAGCAGGTGTCCAGAGGCTGTAAAACACGTGAGAGGAGAATGCCCGTCTTTTTCCTCAAGAGCATCTTGTGGATTCGAACCATGTGCCTTTGGGCTGGCAATGCAGCTCCTTACCCGAGAGTCAATAGACTATCTTCTGAGTTCTCAATTCTATTCCATTGGTCTATATGTCTGTCATTGTACCAGACTGTTTGGATTACTATGGCTTTGAAAGGTTTTCAGATCAGTAAGTGTAAGGGTTCCTGCTTTGTTTTGTTTTGATTTTCTTCAGTAACCTTTGCTTATCCAAAGCTGGAAGTTACAGTTTTCTAAAGGGGAGAGACTGCACGTTTTCAGTGGTTGATCAACAGCTCAGCCCGCTGTTTCTCATACAGGCTTCTGGTCTTTCTTTACAGGATTGAGAAGGGAGATGGGAGCGAGGAGGAAGACTTTCGCGTAGATTGCCGCCACGAGAGATACCCCACCCGTAAGTGGCCCCATCAGCCTGGTCCCTGAGCAGAACAGGAGCCAGGCCCACCTCCCCCCTGCGCCTACATTCACTCATGAGAATCCGCTACAGATGGGGAAACTGAGGCTGGCATCTCCATCCACGATGCTTTGCCTGCAGCAATCACAGCCTCCAAAACACTTGGGATGCTGTAAAAAGGAGATGCAGATGAGAGTGTGGTAAAGGCAGGCAGAAATGACCCAGCTCAAGTCCAGGCCGGACAGGAGAGCATCCCCTGGGGTGGAACTCGCCGAGTCAGGGAACTGACCGTGGGTGAGAATGGGGGATGCTTCTGGCAGCCCTGAATGCATTGGCTTCATATGCCTCACTGCGGGGGAGACCATGAGGAAGAATCTAGGGCATCTACCAGGAAAACAAATAACCTGGACCAGAACCCCAAGGGGCCGAAAGAGGAGGGAAAGGGCCTTCCTTGATCAGGAGAGACAGCAGTGATGGGCGAAGCTCACCTGCGCCCACTGAACGCCCACCATGTGTTCCGGCATATCCACCCTATGCCTGATCTCACAGCCCCTCCACAGCCAGAGTCACCGCCCACATTCTACAGATGAGGAAATGGGGCTCAGAGAGGTGGGGTCACTGGCCCAGAAGCACACAGTTCAGTTAGTCAGTGGCAGAGCAGTTAAACAAATGCTGTGATCCCAGTCCAGATGTCTCAGACCTTCCATGAAGTCCCGGGGTGTGTGGGGGATGTGTGTGGGGGTTTACAGCATCCAGCCTCTGCATCCCTGGGCCTGGGGCTCCCCCACGTCCACCCACAGCAGGCAGCAGGGCTGTGAATGCTGGGGTACCAATGCACCCACATGCGGAGGTCACTGTGTTTTACAGTTTCTTCCTGTTCTCAAGAGTGAACTGGCCTCTGGGTTGACACCTTCTCTTAGTGTGTCACGTCCCCTCTGCTCACTCAGCTGCCTGACACCTCGAGTTGGTTACATTCCTGTTCTTCTCTTGGTTCTGCGTCTGTGGGAACTCAAACTAAGGATAGGGGCTGCAAACAAGGGCGTGGGGCTGCTGCCTAGTGGAACGGAGTGACCACTGCCCAGGGAGCTCTGGTGGCGCAGTGGTAAGGAGCTGTGCTGCCAACCCAAAGGCACACGCTTCAAATTCATCAGTTGCTCTGCGGAGAAAGATGGACAGTCTCCTCCTGTGCAGTTTGCTGCCCCTGAAAACCTGCTGGAAGGTCACCTTTGATTACAATACAGTTACACACAATAATACTCAATGACACACACCACCACCACCACTCATTGTCATTAAGATTATCGACATGTAGGACTCAACTCATAACTCCCCCTTTCACTGGGTTTCCAAGGCTGTAGATTGCATGGGAAGTGATCTCTTATCTTTCTCCCTTGATGCCCATGGGTAGATTTGAACCTTTGGCATTTGTTCACCCACTGACTATACATACGTGCCTAAGGCTTTGTGTTTCTTTACTCACTCAATCCTAAATACAGATCCATTTCACAGACAGGCAAACTGAGGTCCAGGGAGGTCCAATGGCTCGCCTACAGCAAGCAAGGGGCAGAGCTAGGATTTAAATACAGTCAGCCTGGCTCCAGCCTGTACCCTGACCACTACACAAAGGACCCAGTGCCAGCCAGTCAAAGGCTCCTGCGGGGCACACTCCCCATGCCAGGCCTCAGGCTGGGTCCTGAAGACCCCACGGACACAGTCTCAGTCCCAGGGTGCTCATGGTGGAAGGAGGCAGCCTGATCGGGAAACGCGCAGTCTCCAGCATGTGGCCTCTTCGCTGTTGGTGGGTTTTCAGCCAAGAAAATATTTTGGAAATGCCTGGGCGAGTTTTTGCAATATTTCTGCACCAGCAGCTGCTCAGCTTTTGTGATGGGCTGACTCTCTGGCAGGAGGGGCGGGGGAGGAGGGATGTCAGGGAGCCTCATTATTGAGCACTTACTGTGTGCGGGTCTGTGCTGGGCCCTTCACTGTGGATGCATCTGATGGCTGAGCCTGCTCTGCAAAGGAGGGGTTCTCCCTCTTGGCATAGACATGAACAGACTCAGACTCCCAGAGGCAGTGGGCTTCAGTGACTTCCCTGGACACTCAGGGGGTGGTAGTCAGGATAAACTCAACCTGGCATTAAGCTCCCCCCGCCCCCCGCCTTGATCCTCAGTCCCCCAGTCTCTTTCCTTTCCTTATGCTGCTCCAGCCACACTGGCCTCTCTCTTCCTTGAATATCAAATTCATCCCTTTCCCAGGCCTTTTGCAGTTGCTGTTCCCACTGCCTGGAATGCTCTCCTGATAAATCCTCACGTGGCTGGTATTGGGGCCTCATTTAGATCTCAGCTGAAAGGCCACCTCCTCAGGGAAGCTCTCCCTGATCTAACTTCCCTTCTCCAGTTCCCCTCACACCCTGAATTTTATGTCCTTCAAAGCGTTGAGCTCACTCTCATGTGGCCTTTATAGTGACTTACTTTGTGTCTTGGTTTTTGTTTTGTTGCCTCTCTGGATTAAATTATGTGAGAACAGGCTTCTTGTCAGTTTTATTCACACAGTAGCTGGTTTTTATCACCACGTATCTTCACATTGGCAAGGAGTTGCTCTGCCAATCCAAAGGCATGCGGTTCGAATCCACCAGCTGCTCCACAAGAGAAGGTTGGGCAGTCTCCTCCCATGTGATTTACTGCCTCTGATAACCCTCTGGAGAGTCAGTTATGTATTGATTCCAAATCAACAGTACACAACAACTACAAAGCTGAACTTGTACATGAACTTGTACCTGAACAGTTATATAAACTTTTTTGACTGTCTTACCGGCCCCAAAATTTGCTACTTTATCCTTGGCTGCTGTGATATGAATTCTTCCATATTTTTTTTTCTGAGGAAAGAATTTGCTTTTGAAACCTGCCTTTGGGGCTTTGCAGAGCCACCAGCTAGCTCGGGAGCACATCAGAGGTGACATTTGACAGAGGATAGGGCCCAGGTGTCTGCATTTTCCTTTCAGGGGTGACGGGCTTTGGGCCTGATTGCAACTGTCAAGTTCAGTGCCCAAGACAAGCCTTTGACTTTGCCAGGTGCATCGGTACAGAGGGGCTGGGTGAGGGACCTGTCACTCGCTGGCACCGTAGTGGCTCCTGGGAGTTCTGTCTAGACGGGTCTCTGCCACCGCTGCCCCCAAAATAGCAGGGACAATTTCAAGGAAGACTTTTTTTTCTGGGCCCAGAGCAACTTGGCATTTTTATTAGATCAAAATCAAATCCGATTCAGTGCTGCTGGCGTCACTGCCTTTATTAAAATGGAAACCGACAATATGTCTGAAACAAATAGCCGTGCCAGCTTGCTCTGGAAGGAAGGGCCAGCAGACCTGCAGTTTGCAGAGGTCCAAGGCCCTGCACGGGAGAGCTCTGGGGGTCTTGTGACAAGGACCTGCACTGCCAACCCAAAGGCACGTGGTTTGAATCTACCAGCTGCTCCTTGGGAGATAGATGGACAGTCTCCTCCGTGCCATTTACAGCCTCTGAAAACCCGCTGAAGGGTCAGTGATGAGTTGATTCAGACTCGTTGACACCCAACAACAACAACAACGGCGAAAACCATGGGCTGGGGTGTGAGGGCGCCGGGGAATCCTCTGGGGAGCTGGTTTGCTCACAGATTGCAGGGCCTTGGGGATTCCGGTTCAGCAGGTCTGGGGCAACCCCGGGGTTGTGCATTTTGACAAGTCTCCAGTGATGCTGCTGGGATTGAGCCACACACCACGTCCAGAGTCTCAACATTTCAGTTGCCGTCAAGTCAGAGCCAAGTCATAGCTGACCTTCCTGCGGGTTTTCTGAGGCTGTAAATGGCACTGGAGGGCATTGCCTGTCTTTCTCCCTCAGAGCCGCTGGTGGAATCTTACCAGTGTTAGCTGCGCCACTCGCTATGCCCTGAGTAGCAAAACTTTAAGTAGTCCTCAGCTGTGGGTCAGCACCTTCCCTCTGAAGCCACTGCCATTTGGTCACTTCCTAGATCTGCTGTCAAAGACCTCTGCAAAGTTCGAAAGAGCAAGGATGTCATTTTAAAGACTAAGGTGCATCTGATCCAAGCCATGGTCTTTTCAGTTACTTCCTGTGCATCTAAAGTTGGATAATGAGTAAAGATGTCAGCAGAAGAAGGAATGACTTTGAGCAGTGGTGTTGGAAACTGGTATTGAGTATCCCGTGGACTGTCAAGAGAACAAACAGGTCTGTCTTTGCAGGAAGTGCCAACCATGGATTTTCATCCAATACAAATTCCAAAGTCTTCAGACTGTTTACACAGGATTTTCAACATGCCTCCACAAATTATTACCAGACTGTTAACCTATAAATTATAGGCAATGATGATGAAACTTCATCCCATATACTTGGGGCAGGTTGCTAGGAGGAGGCGGTGCTTGGGAAAAGACCTCATGCTTGGAAAGGTGAAGGATCAGAGGAAGAGAAGACCCTCAACGAGATAGATCTATTGATACAGTCACAGTGGACTCAAGTCATTAGACATGATGAGGATGGCACAGGACAGGGCAGGTTCAAAACCAGGTTCATCAGGTCGGGGTGAGTCGTCATTGACTTGACAACACTTAACAGCTGTTCATTGCTCAAGTCTGGACTGCAGTTCCCCCCAACTCCTTCCTCCTTAAACATAAACTTGACCATGTCTCCTCCACCCCTTGTAACCCCAACACTCCTAAAACCACCTGCATGGCTGGTGGGCGTCTGGCTCTCGCCGCCATGTCCCCACGGAGCCCTCCCTTCCCTTCCTGTCCCTGTTCTGCTTTTCTGCCAGGCCCTCACCTCTCTCTGAGCTTTCCTCTGAGAACTTGTGCATTTCCCAGTCTTTCCTCACCAGGATGGCCGTGTCATGGCGACAAGGACCTTGGCTGTCCCGTTCACTGGGAGCCCCAGTGCCTAGTGCCTCAATGAGTCTGAATGATGCTGGCCACTGAGTCTTTTTTAAAAAAATTTTTTAGGTTCTTCTTATTATTA